TGTGCGTGCCACGCATATGAGTGTGTCTGGGGTGCGTTCAACGTGACGGATGCGGGGAGCGGCAAGGAGCACACAGCAGGGCAGCGGAAGCAAGTGAAGCAAAACACAATCATTAGTTCATCCTGTTTAGTACATCGGACCACAGTAGACGCACACAAGTCCCCGCGGTTGAGTGCTGGCACGCACAGCCCACACACAATTCTTCAGCCCAGAGTGGTGTACGCCAGCGCGGATACGGCGAGCAGCAGCGGGGCACACACCCACGCAGAGCTGCTGAGGCTGCCGTCGATTTCGCGAAGACGTGACGGTGCGCGGGTGGTCGTTGTGGTTGGCGCCTCCGTAGTCGTAGTGGTGGTGGTAGTTGGTGCTTTTGTCGTAGTAGTGGTTGTTGTTGTTGGCGCATGTTCCTTCCGATTTTGTGCCGGTACAGAAGCGGTCACGGAACTTGATGCTGCAGCTGGGTTAACCGACCCACCTGGGGATGGGGATGTTGGCTCAGCGCCACCCCCTGCTGGTGTGCTCCGCGTGGCATCTGATGCGGCTGCCGTTCCTGGCCCTGGCGAACTGTCGCCTGTCGCTGTTGGTTCTTCACCCGCCGGCGATTGTGACTGCAGCTGCTGCGCTGATTGTAGTCCTGTCGTCGTACCGAGGGTTGCTGATACATCGGGATCCGTTGGCTTCGGCAAATTATTCGGCTTTCCTGGTGGAGGAGGAGGAGGAGTTGTTCCTTTCCCTGCCAGCAAATTTAAATTGCTTGTATTTTCGACTCCTGCCGGTTTACCCGGAACAGTTTCCTGCAGCTGTTGGCCCTCACTTCTAGCAGGACCACCGTCACTCGTTCGATCATCCCCCTCTCTCTCAACACCTTCTTCTGTGACAGAATTGCCAGCTCCACGACTTTGGCCAGCACCATTGCCAACAACCATGCCGCCACCAGAGCCAGAAAGTAAAGCCTGCGGTTTGTCATCACAGACACCGCCGCCGGCACCGCACCACAGCACGCAGAGGGCACACACCAGCAGCACACGGCCAGTCATCATCATCGCCATCACTCCTGTCACTTGCCTGCAGCCTTCAGCACAAACCAACTCCCCGTCAACGCAGAGCGGAAGCAAAAGGAGAGACACGGCCGCTACAACAAACACAGCCACCGCACAGTCACAAATGGCAGCAGCCCAGCAGCGGCAGCGCACACACACCATGAGGCAGTTGGAATCAGTGAAAGGGCAAAAACACACAACGCCCCGCAGCAAGCAAACAGAAAACACACAAAACACAATTAGAAACAAAACACAGGTAAACAAACAGCAATGAAGTAAAAAATGTGAACACACAAAACAAAGGGCTGCACAGTATGGCTCCAGCGCGCACGCACCCATCCTCAAATGTGGCTCCACGCAAACAGTTGTGTGCGTGCCATGCATATGAGTGTGTCTGGGGTGCGTTCAGCGTGACGGATGCGGGGAGCGGCAAGGAGCACACAGCAGGGCAGCGGAAGCAAGTGAAGCAAAACACAATCATTAGTTTATCCTGTTTAGTACATCGGACCACAGTAGACGCACACAAGTCCCCGCGGTTGAGTGCTGGCACGCACAGCCCGCACACAATTCTTCAGCCCAGAGCGGTGTACGCCAGCGCGGATACGGCGAGCAGCAGCGGGGCACACACCCACGCAGAGCTGCTGAGGCAGCCGTCGATTTCGCGAAGACGTGACGGTGCGCGGGTGGTCGTAGTACTAGGCGTCTCCGTAGTCGTAGTGGTGGTGGTAGTTGGTGCTTTTGTCGTAGTAGTGGTTGTTGTTGTTGGCGCATGTTCCTTCTGACTTTGTGCCGGTACAGAAGCGGTCACGGAACTTGACGATGTAGTTGGGTTAACCGACCCACCTGACGACCCATCGGACCCACCTGGTGCCTGTTCCTGTTTTGGAATAGACTCCAGACTTGGTGTATCTGGACTCCCTGGCACACCGGTTCCCGCACTTGATGCTTGTGATGTGGGGTCTCCACTTTGTGTCTGTCCAGTACTGGACTGTTTCAGCGGCTCTGTCCCACCGGTCCCGGAAATTGGTTCCCGTTCCTGTACCTTTTCAGTCGGTTCTGCTGAGTCTGACCTACTGGACTCCGTAATTGGTTCCTGTTCATCAAGGCTCGCCGCATCTCCTGCCCCTTGCAAACCAGACGTACCATGTGGCTGTTCCGCATTGTTCCCCGGAATTTCTACCGTACCGGTCCCCGGAGTCTTTGACGGTAACGCATCGGCCGGAACCGTTGAAATTGACGCCGCGAACGTATTTTTTGCCCCTAAACCACCTGCTCCCGGTGGCTGAGCAGCCGTTGAACCGTTGACCCCATCTTGTTCTTTACCAGTTGCTGTCACACACACGGACGGGCAGCAGCACAGGGCAAGCACCAACAGGGCGCACAGCAGACGGCACGTCGTCATCGTGAGTGTGGTCGTTCGGTGGTGTGGAGCTGATCTGCACAGTGAGGGACATGGAGAGCAACAGGGGAGACGAGAGGTGCGGCAGACACACACAGAGGACACACCACATGAGGAGAGGGCAGCAGCCAGGCATGCACCGTACGCCGCACACCACGCACGACACACACTCCAATCCACGGCAACAGGCACACACACACGCAGCCCTGCCGCAACACCAACACACAGATGGAAGAGGGAGAAGCAAACAGGAGCGGCACACAAGGCTCCACCGCATGTACACACGGCGAGAGCGGTCCGTCGTGTCTGCACCCCTCATGGGGGGTACGCACACACACACGAGAATAGGTGCAGCGCCCACAGCAACACAACAGCAAAGTAACCATGAAAAGGAGAGATCAACGCACACCACGTGGATTGCTGGTCCACGGGAAGCGCAGCCACCACCGCAGCAGCCGCACACGCAAAGTCAAGCGCAAGGAATGGAATAAAGCAGCCATTTATTCGTGTTTCTTTTTGGAGGGTGGAAGGTGTCTGCATATGTTGTTATTGTTTTTGCGGAGGGTAGACCTTCATGCCTGCATCGTGTGTTGGGGTTCCTGCAGTGTGCACAACTGTTTCCTTCTCTTGTGAATTTTTATTGTGTTGGTGCAGCCAATAATTCAATTTGTGTTGTTCCTGCTTTTCGCTGGTAAAAGTGCTGCAATAGATGTTTTTATTTCCTCCTTCGTTGCTATGGCACCTGATTCCTCACCGTTTATTGCGGTGGAAATGAGAATATGTGAGTGGACTCCCACGCACCAGAACGCACCTTCGCTCCTATTTATTGGTGCACAGAAGGGCATGTGTGTTTGGTGGTGCCTCGTCCATATATTCTTGTGGGCGTACATTCCCCTGCAGGCTGAGGGCGGGGTGACGCTCCGTCGCGGTGCACTTCCCTCGCATGCCGCCCACTGTGATTCATCATGCATCACCCCCTCACACATACTCCGTGGTGCCACACCGCTGATATTATTGCAGCCGCTGTGATTCCGCGTATTTCACGCATTTCATTGTGCCACAATACATCCGCTCGTGTGGCCGCCGCATCCAAACAGCGGTGCCCAACACCGTGAGCGGCAGTCCACATCCCTGCATGCCCCAGCGCAGTGGTGCTTGACTGTCAGCCAGGCGTCAGACAACACGAGAGTATTGTGCTGGCAGTACAACACACGGAGCTGCAGTGAATGACTCGGGCGGCGACGCATCTATTCGTCGCAAAGCAGTGAAAAGGAGTCGGGCAAAATAATGCCGGCTGCACTCACGACACCATACCCACAGCCAAAGCATGCGACGTGATGTGTGTTTCATTGGTGCTGTGAAATGCCTGCAGACGACGTCACTAGTGGAGGCACACCACCCATGATCAGCGGACAGACAATAATCGGCATGGGAGGCCACAAAAGGCAGCAACGACGCCAGCGGCAGCAGGAGCAGCTCTCTCTCTCTCTCTCTGTTGCCTCCGAGAAGTAAATATTCCACCAGCCACAGCCGGCTGTGCCGTCGTGACACTCCATGCACGTCGTGGCTGCGTCAACACATCCTGCTCCCTGCTGCGCCTCAAAAGATGCCTCACTCCGTCCACTAAGTGCATCGATGCGGGCTGTGCCTCGGCTGTTCGTGAGGACCACAACGATGTAAGGGTCACCGAGTCGCAGCATGTTTGTTGTGACGTTGTTGCATGGCACCTGCACACACACACGCAGCGCCTGCATCCCTCCCTTTTGTGTTCGCCCTCTGCCGGAGTCGTCACACACACGGGCAGCAGCAAATTCATTTCACCCTCGACGATCCAAAATCAACACGGACATCCCTCGCGACGCAAAGATCTCGGTTGCCAGCACGGACCTCCTGCCGCTCTGCCATCGACGCTGAAACACGGCACAGTGCACGCACTTATTTTCCTCGTGTTCCGTCAGCCGTTTGATTCACACATTCTCCGACGGGCTGACGCCCACAAAAACACGCCACAAAAGCCACTGTGATCACACAAGCTCTTGCGATGAGCGTCTGTGTGTGCATGCATCCGCTGCTCACACGTGCTGGCAGGCAGCCTGCAGCCGGTGCCCTCGTGCCAGTTCATCGGCTCCAGCATGGGAAAGAGAAAATGGCCAATTCCTCGTGTACTTATTCCCACCGGCAGTGCCAACACGCTGGTCGCCAGCCGTCATTCCTCAGCACATCCAGGAATGCTGAAAAGTGACGTGGAACCGTCAGCCAGCAATGCCACAATCCCCGCACACATGTCGGCTCCACCAGAGAAGACACACAAACTACAAACAACACCCCTCACATGTTTTCCGAACATCATTCCGACACACCGCGACATGCCAAACAGAAGTATTCGTCACTCCATGCACCTCCCCACACAATCAAATAGTCCACGCACCACGCACGGCAGCAGCTCACACCCGTCCAAACAAGTGTTCCTCGGACCAGTGTTATCCACGTGCTGCATTGGGCTGCCCCGGCTAAAGGGAGCTGCTGTCGGAAATATTGTTCGCGATCACTCACCACAACGTGGCCGCCTCCCAGGTGGCTGCGCAACCAGTGTTGGGCTCGACAGCACAGGCGCGGGAGCCCGCCGAGCCCGGCCAGCAGTCGCCCATCGTCAACGGTGTCGAACGCAGTCGAGATGCCGGTCGGGACTGCGAGAGAGCGGCGACGGCGACGGTGCAGCGCGGGACGCCGCCCCTGCGACGCTCGCACTCCACAGCGATGCGCTCGCTCAGCCCTCGTGCCGTTTTGTCACGGACAGGCGTCACCACGTCGGAGACCGTGCGTCGTGGCGTGGATAAAGGCTGACTTCGGTGGCGTGCCAGCAGCGCTGACAGGCGGCGGTGGACCAGTCCTTCGCTCACTCCTAGCAGGACAGAGAGCAGCGGGAGGGGCCGACAAATCTCCGTGCGGCATGCGTTCTTCCCGTGTCTGCGGATGCGAGTAGTGTCCCCCGTTTCCCAGGAACTTCGCAGGCTACCGTCAGCAAGGGAGGTGCTACTCATCGTTCTGAGCGAGCAGCGGGCTGCGGGTACAAGATGGCGCAGCAACGCATTCAATACACCGCCGGGGCCAGGTGCCAAGACAAGCGAAGAGTCGCGAAAGGACAATTCAAGCGCATACAGCGCGAAGGGCCAAACCATATCCCGGTCACCAGGGGGCACGCAAGCACGAAGTGTGCGGACAGCAGTGGGGATCGCAGCAAGTGGGATTCAGACGATGCGACGGACGAGCGGGTTTCACTGCTGCCGGATTTCGTCGGCGCTTACCAGCGCTACACATGTCGTCTGCGTGCCGTAAGTGACGCACAGAGGCAAAAGCTACTGCGAGGCGGAGACATTGAGCGGAGCCCGAGCCCCATAGCAGCACTCCAGATGACCGTTCCCTCACTGACGCCGGCCAAACTCGCAACAATAACGGCGCAAGGAGCAGACATGATAGCCATCCAGGAGACCCGGAAGTCGTCGGAGCAGATCGCCAGCATGCATACTGGAGAGTATGTGCTCCATGCACAATCACGTATCCGCAAGAAAGGTGTTGCAGCGGTGCTGGTGAGGAAAAACTCTCCGCTCCAAGCGTATGCCCCTCATCACTCTTCAACGTGATTCCAGCCTCGAAGTGGTGGTGGTCCGGGTCGCGCTGGGCCAGAACCGTGATCTTATTGTAGCGAGCACCTATATGAGACCACCGCCGCAACTGACACAACCTTTAGGCGGTTGCTGAACTGCCTCTCGGTCTCTTCGCCGCTCATTCCGTGTGGAGATTTCAACGTGCGTCGCCCACGGTGGGAGCCCTTCCTGGAGACCCCTCCAAGCAACTCCGCTGTTGAATTTTATACAACCGCGCACGGATGCAGGACCCGCCTTGGTTAACACCCCTGGTGAAACAAAGTGTGCTCGTGGTGCAAGAGAGAGGTCCTGTATCGACCGGAAATGGTCAAGGCATCTTACCGTGCCCGACTGGACAGCCAATGTGCCGCCGCTCAGTGACCACTATGTGTTGACATTCACGCTGCATCAGGCATTTAAGGATACCATACCCTCGGCACCCACTTCGGTACGTCGAGTTTTCTACAGCTGGTGGAAGTTCAAGTGGGATTCCTTCGCCAACGACCTCGACGCACAACTTCCAGCATGCGACCATAAAAGGCAACCGGCATTAAAGCTTTTACGAGAGCACTTGCAGTTTCACCTCGACAAAATTGACCCCGCGGCATGCACAAGGATGATCCCAAGCTCCGGGGTGACACCCTTGCGAAAGCAGAGCGGATTGCTACCGACAGCAAGGCCCGCCGTCTGCAGTTACCGACGCCCGACCGTGAAGCAGAGACGCAACGGACAAGGAGCCAATTCTTCCTCCTACTCCGTGAGCGCTCGCGCAGCAAATATCGGCGTCGCATCAGAAAGTTAAACCCAGGCAAACCACTCGCCTAAAAAACGATTCCGGACGTAAAAAGACATCAATTCCGTCTCCCACAACGGCGTTGATGTACGATGGCCGCAAGAATAATTTCAGGACAGCAAGGAGAGCAGCGGATGCGCTCAATCTTGGATTCCTCCCCACCTCGCAAGGCGATTGGGTTTTCCAACGGGAAATAACGGGGAAAACAAGTCTTTGTGTATTTCTTCTCCATTCCCTTCTTAGGCCGCAGAACAACAACGAGTCGGCCGCCTCATCTTCGATAGGTTCCTTCTCTCCCCTCTCTCTGGCTGCCTCTTTTAATCAAGCGGAACTGCGTGCAGCGCTGCGTAGCACACCGTACGGCAAGGCCTCGGACCGGAAGAAGTCTACAGCGAGGCGCTACGACACCTTTCGACGAAGTGTCTCCGATTCCCTCTCCGTCGCATCAACCACAGCCGGACAGCCGGCACGATTCCGGTCCAGTGGCGACGAGCCACCATCGTCCCAGTCCTGAAACCCGGTCATTCGCCGGCGCTAATGGAGTCATATCGACCAATCAGCCTTCCTTCCATCGTGGGTAAGGTTGCTGAGAAAATGGCATTGAGGAGACTGCTTTGGCTGTGGACGCCTCGTCCGCACCAGTATGCGTGCCGTAGTATGCGTACCACGACGATGCAGCTGGCACACCTGATAAACGAATTTGAGCATAACAGAAACGATTAATTCCAAGTGAACCTTCCAAAGAAGAGCGGTGTTGGAAGCCAGCTCCACTGCAGACCCCATCGGGCTCCGTTGGTGCTGGTAGACTCCAGCAAGGCCTTTGAGTTCATTGGTCATCGAGTCCTCAGTCGCTTGCCGGCCAATATTCCGGGGGTGAACTGTAGAAGGTGGCTTAGAAACTTTCTGCGTGGCCGCTACGCGAAGACACGAGTTGGCAACAGACACAGCGATCGGTCTTCCACGCTGCGAGGAGTTCCTCAAGGGTCCGTATTGGGAACACATTTTTGTTCTCCCTTTACGTACACCCACCTCTCAATCTGCTGAACAGCTTCTCAGGCGTCACAGCAGACATGCACGCGGATGATCTCTCCATTGTAATCAACGGCCACTCTCGGGAGGACACCATTCCTGCAGTCAACACGGTCCTCGAAAAACTGCACGCGCGGGGTCAGTAAAATGGCCTGGCCATCAACCCGTCAAAGTGCAAAGCCGCTTGGCCCACACTCTCCACGCACACGGAGTCAAACTATGATCGTGAAGGAAAGTGGCCCCTGGAAGTGGCTGGATGTAAAATTCCAGTCATCACCATGGGGGCGTCGCGAACTACGAAGCTTCTCGGCATGGATCTCGATCCGCGACTGGCGGCAAATGTGGCGACCTCCAAGCACTGTGCAGCCACATCGCGACGGATATCGCAGCTACGCCGCATTGCGCATAAAGAGGCGGGGCCATCTCCACATGACCCACGCACGTTCATCATCGGATACGGTGCTTCCAAATTACGCTACGGCAGCGAGCTCATATGGGAACTGGCAAAGGATTCAGCGAAGAATGAGATGCAAAAGACGTACGCAGGTCTGGCACGCATTGTCAGAGAAGTTGCGAGCAAAGTTCAGCGGGAACCCGCACTCCTAGAAGCAAATATACCGCCGCTCCATGTTGTCCGTCTGCGTGCGGCTCTCCATGTTTGATAACACACGCACATGTCAGATGGACTGGAAGCGGAAATCAACGTCTGAGCCTTCGCCTCGCGCAGGTTTCCGCGTCCCGCCACTATCTCGGCACGAGCTATATGCCTTTGTAGACGCATACGCAAACGGCTACGGCATCACCGAGGACTCACCACGCGAAGGGCAGTTCTTTCGTGGCTCCATTCCTCCCTGGTTTGCGGCCTCCGCTCACCGGGTCACCATCGGTGTGGAACTTCCGATGGAGCACTCGATCACCGACGAAAAAGAACTGATAAGGGAAATGCGCAGAGTCCGTAAAGAGGCTCTAGCGCCGCACAGCCACCGCTCGTGGATACTCGCAACGGATGACGATGTCTATGTTCCCAATTCAGCTGGGGTTGTCATACCGCCTTCATCCCTGCATTCCTCGCAGATAATAGAGAAAGTAAGTAACAACTGCGGCACACGCCCTTGAAGCTGCAGGACGGAATCCAGTGCGCTGCTCCTGGCCCTGGACAGGCTGATTATCCCTCGGATCCAGCACAGGCGTAAAAACCCTGCTTGTGGCGACACAAAGCCAGTCTCTCCTAGCGGCCCTCAACAAGGACCCGTTCCGCCAGACCGACTGGACGGAGGACCGGATCGGGCAGCGTCTCTTGACACTGATGCGTGCCGGCCGGTCCGTGCACCGGCAGTTTTGTTGCGGACATTGTGCAGTGCATGTTGACGAGCCTGCGGCTCAGCATGCGACGCAGACCATGGCAAGCGGACAACACACGGAACATGGAATGGCGCCCATATGGCACACGGACCCGCTGACATGCTTTACTACCCAGCCCAGCAACAAGTGGCGTCGTACCATTCGCCAAGACACTCACCGCTACTCGCTCTGTGGTGCCAGGAAGCGGTCTCTGCCACCGCAGGATCAGTCAACTTCCACAGGCACGCCAGTTGACCCGCAGGAAACCTTTCGCCATCTGCTTCTAGAATGCCCAGGCACCTCCGCTGCGCGCCAACGGCTGGGCATTGAGGAAGATCTACGCAGCGAAATGTTCTCCCAATGGCAGTTGCTTCATAGCAGGAAACTCCTGTCGCCGCCCAACCGCCTCCTCGGCACCCAGATGGCATTGTATAGCTAGACGCGCTGGTAAGAGTGGGAAAACAAACAAACATCGGTGCTGGTGTTCGTGGCAACCTGCTGCGCAATGGATTGTTGAATGACGACGGCCGAGAGAGAGCCCCGCAAAGTCGCTGTCTCCACAGGCATCTC